TTGATCCACAGCCGCTAGGGGAATTTGTTTCCCCAGGAAGTACTCAGCTAGTTTGTCAAACTGTGGCGCTGGTGGAGTGTCTCTGGCGTGGTACTGCTTCAAGTGTGCGAGATGTACGGATACTTCGCATGTCTCGTTTGGTCGTTTTACTCGACACACAACTGGCGATAGTTGTGAACAAATAGTGTACGGCCCCCGCCACGGTAAAAGCAGCTTCGGATTCGGTCCGTCTGAGTCTTGGTACGGCTTGTATAGAAGCACTTTTTGACCTGGTTTGAACACGGGAAACTGCGGCAATTGTTCGTTTCGCGCAGCTTGTTTTGTGGCTCGTTCAGTCAAGTTTTGTCTTGCTATTTCAAAAGCAATCTGCAGATTTTCGCGAGTGTTCTTGGCGAACGTTTCGGTATCTGGTGTAGTTCCTACGTGCGGAATGCCCAGAATGACATCTACAGGCAAACGTGCTTGGCGACCGAACATCAAAAAGTACGGAGTCTCATGCATGGTTTTGTTGAACGACGTGTTGTACGCTAACTGAACCATCGGTAAGAGCTCCGCCCAGTTATCACGATCCATGGAATTGTGCATCGAGAGCATTGCATGCATTGTCGAATGTACTCGTTCAGACACTGAATTACCCTGAGGACGGTATGGCGTTGTACGGGTTTTCTGGTGCCCAAGGATCGTTTGTAGCTGGTGGATGATTTTGTTTTCGAATTCGGTGCCTTGATCAGAATGTAGCATTTCTGGTGGTCCAAAGATGCTGATAATCCTTTCGATTAACACGTTCGCTACGGTTTCAGCTGATTTGTTTGGGATCGGTGTAAGGACTGCAAATCGTGTCAGATGGTCCATCATTGACAGCGTGTATTTACAGTATTCTCCTGTGTTTGATTTGGAGAGCGCTTTGTACTCAACAAGATCAACCGATATCCTTTCAAACGGTCGCTGGACAGGTACGTGACCCGTCGGGAGTTTCGGACGGCGGTGGGGTGTTTTCCTGCGTTGACATGCTTGGCATTGTTGACACCAGTTGCGAATATCACGAGGCATTGACGGCCACCAGTATTTCTGTCTAATTTTTTCGTATGTCGGTCGGAAAGCTAGATGCCCACCCGAAAGTGCATGATCGTGATAAGCGTGCATTACAAGACCCGTGAGATCTTGCGGCAATACCAGCTGATCACTGAACGTGCTACGTTTGCGGAGGTGTCCAGGCAAGTACGACTTAAAACAGTAATCCATCCTGTATCGAGTAGTATGACATCGTCGTCGCAGTTTCTCTGTCTGGAGGAGATGCGTTTTCGTCAAGGATGTAGTCTATATACTCCTTGTATTCTTTGCGTTGTTTTTCGCGTAGCTTGGCATGGTCAACAGATGGAAATACTTGTGTGGCGCTGACAGTGAACAACTCCCTATCGCTGCGGACAGGTTGGACGTCGTTTAATTTATCTGCGGACACTTGGTAAGATCTGTTAGGCATGGCCGTGTGTAGCTTCGGATCATGTGGTACGTTGCGGCAAATCGGAGCGAGAGGCGGTACGTCGTGTGCTTGTTCATTCTCGAAAAGGAAAAGACGCGATAACGTGTCGGGCACTACATGTAGCTTCCCTGGTTTATGCTGAACGCTGAAGTCGAACGATTGAAGTGCAATTGCCCAGCGTGTAAGCATGTTTGACGTATCTTGCATCGTGTAGAGATACCTTAGCGCTGCGTGGTCAGTGACGCACGTAAAGTTCCGACCCCATAGGTATGGCCTCCAATGTTGGATTGCCAAAACTACAGCGTAACACTCCTTCATGGTTGCGGAATAGTGTCGTTGGCTCTTGTTGAATCGCTGGCTAAAATAAGCAATGATGTTCAGATCGTCACCATTCTTCTGGGCTAGGAAGGCTCCTGCTCCAGTTTCAGATGCATCGACATGAATCACAAACTCTTTGGAGAAATCCGGGAAATGCAAGACAGGTGCTTTCGTGAGTAAACTCCTTATTTCAGCAAATGCCTTGTCATGTTCTGGACCCCAGCGTTTCGCTACCGATTTGACTGCTTCCTTTTTCGTGAGTTCAACCAAGGGCGCGGTGATGGCGGCTAGGTTAGGTATGAATTTCCTGACATAGTTCACCATACCTAGCACTGAACGTAGTTCTTTGATGTTCGTGGGTGTAGGCAAATCTAGAATTGATTTGATCCGATCTTCACCAAGGCGTATCCCATCGGCAGATAGGATGTGTCCCAAATATTTCACCTCTCTGGGTCCGAATTGTACTTTGGAAGGTTTCAAGGTGAGCCCTGCTGTTTGCAAAGCCTTGAAAGTGTTTTCCAACAAGGATAAGTGGCCTTCCCACGTTGATGAACAACAGATTAAGTCATCCATGTACACGAGGAGACCCGATTTCGGTCCAAAGTGAGCAAAAGCTAAAGCCATAGTGCGTTGGAATAAAAATGGTGCATTGGCAATTCCGAAGGGGAGGCGTTTAAAGACCCATTTTCCATTCCGTGTTACAAAGGCAGTTTTGTCTTGCTCTGCTTTATCGGTGATGGGTAGCTGGTGGTATGCGCTCTGAACGTCACAGACGGTGATATACTTAGCACCTGCAACGGTGTCAATGTGGCTAGCCATTTCGGGCATGGGCCACGATTTACGGATTAGGTGTTTGTTGACCGTCGTCCGGTAGTCTACACAGAACCGGGGTGTACCATCGGCTTTGGCTACCAGCGTTACCGCGGAACCCCAGGGGCTCGCTCTTTGTTCAACGATCCCTGCTTCCTCCATGTCATGTACACACTTGTCAATTACCTCTTGTACACGCGGATTCGCGCGGTAAGGAGCTCTGTTAACAGGACGTGTACCTGGTTCCAGGGGAAAGTCGGCTTCTGTGAGAGTGCACCTACCTAGCTCGTCGGAATTTAGTGAGAAGACGGAACGGTAGCGCGTACACAGTTGTAACACTTGCTCACGTTGTTCCTCTGAGAAGGTGGTTTGCGCGAATGCTTTCGTGAGAGCTTTTTCCAAGTCTTTGCGGTGTTTCGCGGCTTCATCAGGGCTCGATTGTACACTACTTACTGTCTGCGGGAGTACCGATTTGACAGGGGAAATGTATCCCACTAATGTCTTTGCTGGCAGACGTGCTAGTCGGTCGGATGGATTGGCGATCTGAACCACTGCTCCCTTCGTGTTGGACCAGTGACACACCGTACGAGCAACGACTATTCGATGGAAAGCCGGTGGCGTGTCTGGTGAGGCTATGTCTTCAGAGGTGATGATGCGCGGTTCTACCAGGGCAGTTACGGTTTCTGCACACGGTGCTACGTTTGAGTGAATTTCCACAGCGATTTCACTACGTGCCGGCACACAACATTTCTTGTTGAGGTAAACCGGGACTGGTTCTGCGTCGCCATCCTGCACTACTATTGAGCAGTTGTCTTCGCTCGATGTGTTGGTCGTTGGGTTTCGAAACCTGCGGTGTGTTGCTTTGATTGTAAGGGTTGAATTCTTGAAAGCTAATTCTTCCGCTTGCCAATCAAGCACGCCGCCGAATGCTCCCATGATGCTGTTGTCTAACAACATGTTATCGGGGCCCAACGATGGTAGTACTAGGGCTTCTACCGGCAGGGTGATGTCTCCGAGGGTGAGTTCGAATCGAGTGTATCCCTTGATTTTGAGGGGGGAGTTGTCCGCGCTACGCAGGTTGATAACTCCATGGGGAACGGGATAAATGTCCGCGTTTTTGAGCGTGTCGTGGCGTCGCATAAATGCTGCTGAAATACACGGAATGTCGCACGCTGTGTCAATCGTGATGTGATCGACGGGGTGATTGTTTATTCTGGCGGATACACGCACGCGTTTCGAAGACGCGTTAAGCACAGAGGGGAACTCAGGGTATCCCGCAAGTGCCGATGTATAGAAAGCAGAAAATTCATTGTTATGGAAGTCGGAAGGCATGAGACGCGATCTATGCTTCGACTTGACAACGCCGGCTACTGTAGCTACGTACAAAGCTTGTGGCACTAAGGCCCGCGAACATTTACTGCGCTTGGCTACGTGTGTTGCTTCGGTGCTACGTGGTGTGGGGGCAGAGGTGTCAGCTGAAACAGTATGCCGGGTCTGAGTGTTTTGCGAACGTTGGCTGCTAAACCGAGTGCAAGTGAACTCAGATGGTATTCCGGGCACTGTGTTACGAGCTACCTCATCTGCTTGTTCTACCACCAGAGGCTGGACACGTTTTGGATGGTGCCCAGGATTCCTCTCGTCTACTTCTACTCTCTTCGTTACTGCTCTCGAGTTTCTAGACTTGTCTCCCAAACAGGCCGAGGAATGGTGCCTATCTGGGCCATCCTATCCCTGCTGCGAGGTTACCGAGACGTACTTGATTCCGTTCTGGAGATCACGTTTCTCGGTCCTACACTCCTGCCGTGAATGCGTGAACCGTTTCGACTTCCCTGCGCAGCCCGGGTAAGTGCATTCAACACCCCCCTTGCTACCGCTACCACCATCCACTGTTCCGCCCGAGGACTTAGTGTCCTGGGTGAACGCCACCTTTGCCTTCTGGTTCCGGTGGATTTGGGGCTGGGAAGGACCCCGCTTCTGGGTGGTTGGTCCCCGACTGTTACTACGGCCGCGGGCTGCACTGGAGACGTGGGTGTCTCCTTGCGTGTTGACAAGTTTCTCGAGCTGGTTGATCCGATTCTCGAGTTCACCCGTGTGAAGTTTTAGCTGCGGTTGTAGTGTGGAATCGAGGAGGGAAGATACCGAGGCGGCTGATTGAGACGTTGCAGAGCGCAGTTTGTTCGCTTCGTGTTTGCGGGCGCGCGTTTTGGAAGTCATAAACGTTTGCGGTGCGTCTTCTCGAATCATCTCTACCCTGATATCCGGCGGCAAACCGTTCTCAAACGATGCAATGAGTGCTTTCTCAAATGCGTGTTCGTGTGCAGACATATTCGGTGGTGCAGTCCGTTCGGCTTCGGCGAGAAGTCTAGAGTATGCGCGTGAGACTCGAATAGAAAACAGGTCGACAGACTCGTTAGGTTTCGCTTGGAGAGTCATGGCTTCGCGTGCGAGAAGTGCGATTCTGTTAGCGGGTGCGAAGAGAGTAGTCATAGCGTTAACCCATTGTTTCCAGGTTTGAGGAGGAGAGATGGTAACTTGTTCACCCCGTGCACGAATTGCGGCTACCTGCTGTTCCGACCGCCATTCCAAGTGAGAACTCAGAATGAGGTCAAGCGATTGCGCAGCGGCGCCTTTCGTGATGAGGCGTAAGTTCTTAATAGCTCTACGGTCGATGATGTCGTCCGAGGTGTTTTCAGGCAGCGAGAGGCGAATGTGCGTGCGGTACTGTGCCATGATCTCGGGTACATCTTCCGATGGGAGACCCTCAAGTTTCAGAGTTGGCGGAAACTCGGAAGCCTTGAGAGCTCTGAAAGTGTCTTGAGTTGCGCGAGTGCGTTGCTCGTGTGTGGGAATGGCTAGATTGTTCTGCTGCTGCTGTTGTGACACGTCTCCACTGTGCTGGGGTAGAGGTGCTACATTCGGCTGCGGTTGTGACCCGGCTAAGCTTTGCTGGAGCGGAGATGCTACCTGCTGCTGCGGCTGGGGTTGTACAACTTGCTGAACGATAGGAGTGTCATCGGAACGAGAAGCAGAAAAATCAGATTCCAATCGGCGTGGCTTCACCTGAGTGAGTGTCGCGTCTTGCACGGGAGCTCCCAGGACTAGGCGCATGATCCAAGGTTCCGGTTCCTCCTTGTTGTCACGCGCCTGCTCCAAGCTTGAGATGATGAAGGGCGCCAAGAAGTTCCCAGCAGGGGCAGGAATGGAGGGAGCAGCAGTGGTGGCTGCTTGTTGGAGATTCGCGAGAACGTCTGCAGCCAGTGCGCGTGTGGGGTCGTCCGGAGGGATCTCTCCTTCCTCGCGACCGCCATCGGTGGGCTTGCTGGGTGAGTTCTCTTCTCCCAGTGCTGCGAAGCGGTTGCTGGGGTCACCCCCACCACTGTTGGAGCTGCCACCTCCATTGCTGGAGCTGCCACCCTTCCCAGTTCCGTTGCGGATGGCGCCAGCGTAGTCTTTAGAGCTGGGAGAAGCGTCACCGGTGGCAAGCCGCTGGGGCTGTTTACCGTTGGTGGACGGTTTCTTGACAGACTGCTGTGTAGACTGCAGCGGAGGACTGGGTTTGGGGTTGTGCGAGGGGGTCTTAAGAGCGCCGTTACCGGCGTCCGTGCCTGCCTGCGAGTTCGAGCCGGCTTTGTTGTCTCTCTTGTTCTTGTTGCCCATGTTGAAAAATGGGCAAAACAACAGGAACAGACACGCAGAAACCGCTCTTCGTCGAAGCCAATATGAATACCCTCAACTCAGTGTGAGCGGAGGTCCCAAAATGGCGAGGGGGTATATGCCTACCACCGAAGGCTGGCTGATTTCCTTTGGTGCAATGTGACGAGGAATGTCAAGCGGTGGTTGAGCATACTCAGCCAAGGCCAGGGTAAGGTTGCGAGTGGGCGCCGGCTGAGACCCTTCCTGGGTTCTCGGTACCAACCATAAAGATCCATCCCGACTCAGGTCGGGGTGAATAACCCACAGAGTAAAGATCCAGAGCAGAGCGGTGAATTATCGTCTGTCGGATGTTCTTCACTCCCTTTGTATGTGCGTGTGTAAGTATAAGAAGATACGAATATCCTGGCCTCCACAGAAAACCATTTTTTTTTTACTGAAAGAGCTTTAAGTTAGCCTGCGACCACGGGAATCGACCGCGTCGAGTGTTCTATCAGTACGGACATACAAAGGTACTGGGTAGAGAGAGATCGGGAAGGTTTTTAATGTGAAGACAACAACAACAACAACAACAACAACAACAACAGGTGTACCAGGGACAATCAGAAGAACAAAAATGATGCGTCCGAATACAATTTCAGATATATCTGGTATAAATGGGGCGGAAACAGACTCTCAAAAAAAAAAATTAGGGTGGCGTGCATGCCGGGACGATCGGACCCCCGACTGAATCAGCGTGTATATTGAACTTTTTGTAGCTTATTTTATCTCTTATGTGACTACACCCACCACGAATGAGCTCCGTTCCCAGCTCCGACGACTCTTTAATGCGACATTTATCGAGCCGAATGGAGCCCGAATTGAGTTGTGGGTACCTGCGTAGACGAGGGCTGGACTGGACGAGTAGACCGTCGAAAAGGAACAGAAGAACGGCGGGGACAGCAGCATTAGCGTCCCCTACACAAACATTTCAAAGCTTGGGAAAAGCAACGTTGCTGAGCACCCAGCCCGCGCTGTGGAAGAGACCGCAGTCCAGCACGCAGAAACGCAATAATGAGCTAGCTCCCCCACCGAGTGCTTCGCGCCGGAGGGTACAGGAGCACATCGGGGCCTCAGGCGCTCAGCTTGAACTGCAGCACAACATTGACACAAGGTGGGAGGGTTTATCACCCCCTTGGCTGGAGCTGGTGTGCATACGGTAGACGGGGATGGCAAATGCGGGTAGAACGCGCTGCGTGCGGGTCTGCAAGTTTGGCTGGGTAGAGCGAAGACTCCCAACGAGCAGCAAATGCGGGCAGCGGTTGCCCGTGCTGTAGAGCCAAGAAACATCAAGGAGAAATAAATACACGCACAGAAAGACTACGAAACATGTTATCGGCGCACCCGATGTCCCTGAGGACTCGACAGCGGTACTCTCAAAGGACCAACTTGGGCGGGCCCTGAGTGTGAAGGTACCGCATGTTGTAGGGGATGTCGGTTCAACCCACTTCTCAGCACTTTGCCAGGCCAGATCGCAAAACCACCTACCCGTCTTATCCTCCGCAGCCATCCCGTGTTCGACATCCCCTAAAACATGCGGTACCTTTACACTCAGGGCCCGCCCAAGTTGGTCCTCTGAGAGTACCGCTGTCGAGTCCTCAGGGACATCGGGTGAGCCGATAACATGTTTATTGGCTCTACGGGCAACCGCTGCCCGCATTTGCTGGTCGTTGGGAGTCCTCGCTCTACCCAGCCAAACTTGCAGACCCGCACGCAGCGCGTTCTACCCGCATTTGCCATCCCCGTCTACAGTATGCACACCAGCTCCAGCCAAGGGGGTGATAAACCCTCCCACCTTATGTCAATGTTGTGCTGCAGTTCAAGCTGAGCGCCTGAGGCCCACCGATGTGCTCCTGTACCCTCCGGCGCGAAGCACTCGTTGGGGGAGCTAGCTCCTATTTCTTGTCAACTCGCAAAACACCTTGGTAGTCCGAGTCCGAATCCACAGCAGAGGTTTGTCCTTCCTGGCCTCGGCCTCGGAGTACGTGGTGAACATCATGGTGTGGGAGCCAAGCGCTAAGCACAGCGCAGTCCAGGCGTACTCAGGAAACAACACGGCAGGCATGTTGTTGTTCGAGAAAGAAGACAAAATGGACGAGGAAGGAGATCACTGGGTGCATCTACTCTATCGAGAGCACGCGAATCCATGGCTAGCGCGTAATCAAAACCATTACCTCAAACCACTTCGACTGTCTGCAGCTTGGACACGATGCAGGTGCTTCCTTTGTCGAAGTCGTTGCATCAGCGAAGCTGCAACTAGGCACGGTGACGTTGATACCGTCAGCGATTTACACAGCAGGCGGGGAGGCGGGAGGGTCCGCAATGGTGGGCGGAGAGGAGGAACATCCCGAGTTCAGCAAGGGATCTCTCCCCCGCGGCAGCAACAGCAGTAGCAGCAGCAGCGGGAAGGAGGGGGGAAAGGCTGGAGCGGGAATGAAAAACACGGGGAATATCGGGCCGAAGGTCGTGGTGAAGCGACCTACCGCGGGGCAGACAGCGGAGAACAAGAAGCTCAAGGGTAGGGATGCATCCGGGAAGCACAAGGCCGTGGTTGCGCCAGGGAAGAAGCGCAAGGCGGTGGTTGCGCCGGGGAAGCGGAAAGCGGGGGTTGCGCCAGGGAAGCGCACGGCGGGGGTTGCACCAGGGGATGGGAGAGGTGCCAAAAAAAAAGGCCAAAACTACACCGACCGGTGGGAGGAAGTCCTCGAAGGCCAACGGCAAAGACGACAATGCCAGCTATGATTCCGACGGCAGCATCGGGGGGGGGGGCGTAGACCACAAGCAAATCCCCGGGCGCCTTCCCTACCATGACAAACCGGAAGAAGCTGGTCACGGCCATGATTCCGGAGCGGGGTTGCAAGCAGGCGATCTGGCTGATCAACAAGAGGAGGGCGCTAGGTATGAAGGTACGTTTGTGTTCGGGTAGGCTCTTCTGTTGGCATTGTCCGCACGAACAGGCGGATCAAAGACAAGACGATATAGATGCTGGTAGTTTAAACTTGAGAGTAAAAAAATGAGTGCGCATCGCTAAATACTACTTCCACAGCAGTTATTTTTATTTATTTCCGCTTGGGATACCATATGGCGAGAACCCTATCCACAATGAACAATCGCGTATCAAGGTATGCACTTCGGTTCGGCTTGTGTTGTCGCTTGCCTCGAAGAAAAAGTATCTTCACGCGTTGGTTAATTGACGCCTCCGTACCAGGCTGCTGTTGTTCAGCACGAGGTGGTTTACATTTTTAGCAGCGGGCGACGAACGTTGAGTTCAGAGGTAGTATATAAAGTGTTTGTCTATTTACGCCACCGGTGGCGCATATAAGAAATTGCGCCACCGGTGGCGTAAATAGACAAACCCGTATATAAATGCACGTGCGTGACCTGCCTAACCTGCCGGCCTATGTTGTTATGCCTCGCTCCTTGGTTTCGTCGGTGTTGGTGACACCGTAGCGTCGTGCGTCTATCCTGGACACAACACTCCGGGGGGTAAATTGACACACCTACCGCGTTGAATCCGCTGTCGACGCTGTTTGTCAATGACGTATTCAACACAGCCCAAGAAGGTCGCCGGCGAGGAGAAGGCGAGGCTCAAGAAGGCGGATGAGAGCAAAAAAAAACAGCATAGGCCACGCGAGGAGGTGGAGGAGGAGGAGCGGCGGGAGAGGGAGGAGCTAGAGGAGCAGCAGCAGCAGCAGCAGCAGAAGGAGGAGGACGAGGACGAGGACGAGGAGGTCGTGTGGACGGATCGCGGCATTCCTGACTTTGCGGGGACAGATGACCACAAGAAAAGAAACCAGCGGGAGACGGTCCGCGCTGCCTCGCTGTCGGCGTCCGCGTGCGAGAAATTGCCCTCTCTCGATACGTTCATGGACAGCCTCGACGAGTCTGGCAAGTTCCCGCTACACGGGTTGATGACGTGCTTCGACATGATGTTCCCGGACGAGGCGGTTGATCTTTTTGTTGACAAGGTGAGCATTGGTCACACTGCCCGAAAGTAGATGCAATCGAATCATGTATTCAAGCACGCAGGTATTGCCGGTGGTGACGCATACATCGAGCGAGTGAAGAGCTCCAGTCGGTGTTGTGTATCATGCTTGTGGTTTGCAAGAGACTATGGAAGCTCGCGTTAGGACTACCTTACCAAATCAGCTCCCCACCTGCCACGCGGGGCCCCCATTGAACAGTGATACATACACCTCCGCAAATAACAAACTGTTGAAAATGGGTACTACGTAGGTGTGCAACAAAATAGTTTGTTGTGCGCCATTTCAATGTTGTTGACGTTCCAAGACGCCTGCCGACAGAGTATGCAGATGAAGAAAACGTGAATTGGACATGTTGGTCTGCCACGGCTTGGGCCAGTGACAACACCTCCTCGTGTATATTCGGCGCGTCGGCGCGACCTCTACTGCGAATACCATGCTGATCGTTTCGTTCCTTCGTCTTGTTGTCCCTGTCCTCTTCCGCGCGAAACGTGGTCTATTCGCAGACCAACAAGTAGGTGAACCTTTGCACCACGCCACCACTCCCGGGAGCAAAGGACACGCGGAAAGCGCATCAGGTGAAGAAGACGAGAACTCTCGGCATGGTCACGCTGCCCGAACCCGCATTAGAGCTGAAACACATCTACGGTATGCTTGGCATCACGATCACGATGGGGCTCACGAAGAAAACGCGCATGACGAAGCACTGGAGTAGGTCGCTACACGGCGACTATCCTTTAGTGAGGGAGTGCATGTCGCGCGACTTGTTCGAGCTGTTGTGCTGCCGTTTCATCCACTGCTCGGACGGCAACGCTCCTCCTCGTTGGACGGGCGAGGACAAGACCCCGAACCCAGAGTTCGATTCGAAGTGGCACATCAGGTTAGTTCAAATCCTCGTTGGACTTCAGGCCTTCTGACTGTAATTTGATTGATTTTTTTGCAGCAGCTGGTATGGTAGCAAGACGTGGAGTTGCCGACGTCCCTATCCGTCCACTTCGAGTATTGGCAAGTTCTTCGAGCTGCGGTAGTGTGTTCATGGGAAAAGAAGGAACTCTAGAGAGTCGGCGGGGCTTACACTCGCGGTTGACAGAGAAGTACAAAAGTCGAGTTTATGGGTTGGGGCTTAGGATTAGAAATACTGAAAAGAGACTTGGAGGCCAGCCGCACCCATTCAAGAACCCTTGGGTGACCCCACGAGATGCCACTGCCCTGTCGCGGGCTGCCCTAGTAGCGAATAGGTGGAGGTAGTTCTGGCGTCTACAGAAGTACACTTGCCTTTATTCCTGCACTTCTCCCTTTCTCCCGCTCTCTCTCCCCCCTTTGTCTTTAATGTGGTGAAAAACAAAATGTCGAAACGGAACCTGGGACGGGCAGACCGGCGAGTAGCGTAGCTGCCAGACCCAAAAGGGTTCAGCATGTCGTGCAACAAAAGTAGATATCATTGTCCTCCGCCATCCGCCCCCCGCGTCGAATACTGGAGGCTGGCACCATCGCACGGTTGTGACTATTACGGTGGCATATAATTTATAGGAGCGAATCAAAAGATATGCGTTTCGGAGTGTAGCTTTCGCAATACGATGCGCAGCACAGCATACGATAGCGCAAATTGACGACAGGGAAGAGGCGGTCTCGATGAAAAAGAAAATTAAAAGAAGTTTTCAAATTGCTTGAGTTATGGCGTGTCGTGTATCTGAGCAGAGATTCAAAATCGGAAAAAATGCCCAGCAACATCCGGCCAACATTGGTATCCCCACTTCTCGGCCTGTAACTAACATTTTTAAGCGCCTGTCGGCATACAGTAGCGCAAAACGCTTCCATGACGAAGGCGGTCAATACGCAAGAAGATGAAACGTGAATGCAGTTGACGTGTGGCAAGCTGCATCCGGGGTAAAACTTGTCGACATTTGAGTTTTTTTTTTTTTCAAGAACAACTGCAGCAGCTGGAAGCAGGGACGCAACCCCCGCGCACAGCAATCACATATGTGTGCTGTTGGAACATGGCACACCCAGTGCATGGGTGTAGCAATTGATCACAAGGCTGAAAAAAATCTCATCATGGTTCAACCTCGTCGCTGCCATCACCCCGTTCTGCGCTTTCCTGCTGGATCTCCTCCCCTCCCCCTTCCTCGACATCATCCACGGGCAACACATCATCTGTATCGTACCCGTCCGGCTTTATGAGGCTACCTATCGTACCAGAAAGCACTCCATCACGGTCCTTGACCCACTTATTCATCTCTCTAAGGGCGTGGTCAACCAGCTTCGAACAATTAGCTGCCTTCCACCCCCCCTCCTGGCCTGGCCATTCCTTGTCCCCGTACCAACCTTTACGAATCGGCACCCACACCTCCCGCATCTTTCGCTTCAACTCAAACTTAAGGCTGACGTACTGCTTACCATGCTGCCAAAAAAGCTCGATCGGTTGAAAGGACGGCATGTAGGGCGGCGTCTAAATCAACGCCCACCCGTTGCTCGAGCCTTTCAGGGTGATTGAGGTGGATATATTCCCGAGTGGCCGTTGCTACCCCCGCTCTGCTTACGCCGCCCTCCCTGTTCCCTGCAGGGAATGAAGAACCAGGCTCTGTCGGTACCTCGAAGTTGTACTCAACAACGCCCTGTTCGCCCTCCTTACGC